GCGAACGACGCGTGCGACGTCGCAACTTCTCTTTGCTCCTATTTTAAAGAGGAAAACCGTGGTTTCAGTAATGGTGTGTACTGTGTACAACATTAGATACTTTTGGGTACAATTAGAAACTGAGTTCTTGTTCCTATCTTTCAAGAAAGCACAGAAGTCCTACTCAGGCGACAAAATGCAAACATTTCGAATTTACTCAGAATTTTGGGTATGGCATGTAGCACACAGTCTACGAATTAACCCATTGACGACGATGTGTACCACCGGTGGCCCACACTCTTGCAAAATTATACACTTTCTAGGCCTAGTATTTTTTCGACAGTTCAGTATTTATTCCAGTTTTTTGCACTCTAAGAACCTGCAGACTTCTTTCCCCAAGAATATGATTGTAGCTGTTTTCAAAATCACTTTACTTTTCGTAAATAATCACAAAACTTTCCCAGGTGCAAATGTTGTGCAAAATCGCGTCCTCCCTCAGCGCCTCCACACAAAATTAGGCGTCGTCGTCAATGGGTTAAGGTCCCTTTGTTCTAACGGCCGAAATACCCTCTTTTTCGCCGCGGGCGATTTCGCGGTCCAAAACGTGTTAAGCACTAGGAATGCGCTAATTACATAGTGTCCATATGTCAGTAAAAATCGCACCTGACATACATCCATTTCTAGGCAAGTGTTGCAAATTCCGTGTTACTCATTATACAGTGGAGACAACCTCGCTGTGCACATTCTTCGCAGGACCAACCGTGTTTACTTCCAACATGCGTGCCTGTTTCCTCACAACGCCCCATCGCAACTGTCTCTCATGTAACGTGTACCTACTTTTCCTATTGCATACTATGTCTTCATGAACTATCGGCTTCAGATGGCCACAGTCTTCCCTCTCCAATCTCCCAGAAAGCAACTTCTGGTTGCATCTGGACAAAGGATCTTTAAGATGGGAAGTAGTCCAACTTCTCATTTTCACCGCGCTTTTGTGATTGTCTAGATACATAGCCAATTCGTAGCATTTGGACGCAACGAAGTAATTCTTCAAAAATTAAGTGCATTTCCTTACATTCTGTTCTCAATACCAAAGTAACGGGGGGCGGGCGTTAGGTACCCAGCCGAGGTGCGGGCGTTAGGTACCCAGCCATTTGCTGTATACACTAAGCCACGCCCCTTGGTTCTTCAACAGCGGGTACCTAACGATACGCTTAATTTTAGCTGCCAGAACAGTTCACCTAGCTCGCTATGGCGCTGGCGCTTGCAACCCATAGGAAAGGGGTAGTTCGGACGTCATGCAGGAGGCAGCAAAGGCTTACCGCATTTGCTTCTGGAAGTACCTGGGGAGCTCCAGATTCCTCGCGCCTCTAATCACCTTTCTCACCTCAAATTACTTTACAAGCTAGAGGATTGAACGAAAATCTTTTTGAAGACTATCTCACCCTGGATGCAATTTGCAATTTGCAATTTCTTTCAATCTCAGCTATAATCGTTTTCAGCCTATTTAAATATCAGGTTCGGGCACTTGCTTCAAAATTCGTAAAAGAAGGAAGTGATTCTGCCGCAGAATAAAGGAAGAATGCAATTAGTCTTCAAAGTCCTTGTCTTCAATCGGAATAACATGAGAAAGATTTACAAAAACATGTTTGAGCTTCTGCTTTGAAGACTGAATAGATCAATTCATACTTTAGAATCAATGGATCTGATTTCATACCGCCTTTGACGTTGAATGGCCATTTATAATTCATTTTGAAACTTGTTATCTTATTTGCTTTGAATTTGAAACATAAAAGCTATCTCAAAACTTGCCACGTTTGAGAAATTAACGATCAATTTGGCACAGGTTGTATCGAGTAATCAGAAGTGCGAAAAAGTAATTAGAGGCGCGAGGAAGCCTGAAGTCCCCCAGGTAATTCCATAAGCAGAAGCGGCGAGTTTTTGCTGCCTCCTGCCCGACCGCCGGGTAGTTCGAGGAAATCAAAAAGAAATTGCGCAAATATTAGGTTGTCCTAAAAGTTTTTGCGCCGGATTTTCAAAAAATCATAACTTCCTTTCTTCTCAACGATTTTTCTCAAAATTATTTTTATATGAAAGAGGAAACCTTTTTCTTTATAGCTGTGCCTTTGTCCTAAATTAACGTTGGTAAGTTCGAGAGTTAAAAGCAATTGAAGGAAATTAGTCAGGATCGACATTTTTCAAGCTGGATCACGAAAAATTCTGGAAGTATTTTTATTCGATGGAGAAAATTTTGCACATTACAGTGGTACCTTTTTCATGAATTAAAACGAAGTAGATCGAGAGTTAGAAGCAAATAAAGAGAATTTCTTCACTTTTGCAATTTTTAAGCATGCTCGAAAAAGCTAGAAAACGTCACAGAAAAGGCGAAAAAATCCTTTTTCATGAATTAAAACGAAGTAGATCGAGAGTTAGAAGCAAATAAAGAGAATTTCTTCACTTTTGCAATTTTTAAGCATGCTCGAAAAAGCTAGAAAACGTCACAGAAAAGGCGAAAAAGTCATAAACATAAGTTTTGTGACCTTCCCTTTCTAGCTGAGCGAAAATCGTGCCAATCGGGAGCAATTTCCATTTTCGTGAAAAACGCTGACCCGAAAATCCGAATAAATCACGAAAATGGGAATTGCTCCCGATTGGCACGATTTTCGCTCAGCTAGAAAGGGAAGGTCACAAAACTTATGTTTATGATTTTTTCGCCTTTTCTGTGACGTTTTCTAGCTTTTTCGAGCATGCTTAAAAATTGCAAAAGTGAAGAAATTCTCTTTATTTGCTTCTAACTCTCGATCTACTTCGTTTTAATTCATGAAAAAGGTACCACTGTAATGTGCAAAATTTTCTCCATCGAATAAAAATACTTCCAGAATTTTTCGTGATCCAGCTTGAAAAATGTCGATCCTGACTAATTTCCTTCAATTGCTTTTAACTCTCGAACTTACCAACGTTAATTTAGGACAAACGCACACCTATAAAGAAAAAGGTTTCCTCTTTCATATAAAAATAATTTTGAGAAAAATCGTTGAAAAGAAAGGAAGTTATGATTTTTTGAAAATCCGGCGCAAGAACTTTTAGGACAACCTAATAAAAGCGCAAGTTCGTATGCAATTTGGGAATCACAGAAATTCGGTGATAAATTTTAAAAACAGTAAAGATTACATGAGCAATTCACATCGTTTTGCAAGAAAAAAGGTAAACCTTGTAGAATACTAGTAAGCCAATTTTTTTATAAATCCAATAAATCAAAGGAAACTTTCGGAGTTGCTTCTGGCACTTTGTTGCACGAAATATTCCCTTGTTTCAAAAACTGTTTTAAGAACATTCTTGACAATGACAAGTGGAAGCGATTGAAAAATGAGCTTCAACGAGAACTTGTCATCCGCAGAATTTTATGGAGGTCTAGGGACCCATAATCTATGGAGGCACTAGCTCTGTTCCAATCAATGGAAATTTTTATAGAGGGATTTTGAAGCCAATTTTGATAGGGAGTGTGCCAATAGAATGAAACAGAAAAAAGCAACAAACTTTAATGAGAGCATATTTGACAAAATTCTTCACTTCTTAGTGAGTTATAAAAAAAATTCATAGCATTAATGGATAAATTGATCATATTTTGGCTGCTAGAGAAGAGAGTGAGTATGAAACAATTGCAATATTGAAGTCGCAAAAAAGCACTGCACATAGACACGATAAAATACAGTAACTCAACGAAATTTCCACATGGGATGTGAAATCTTCCGAATAAAAATATGTCTTTATCAGTGTAATGTTCCATAAATCTGCTGGTCTTAGCAATGAGCGAAGTAATAGCCTTGATAATCTAAGATAATGTAGTTCACAATCCTTGTGGCAATATTAACGCGCGTATAACATCACACCCCAAAACGAGGCCGACGACAATATGTGAAAGGAAAATTCCGTGCAACTTATTTGCAACATCTCCGAAAGTGCTCTTGGCTTCATTAAAATCATAAAATTTTGGTTCATTGGAATTCTAGAAAGTTTACTTCTTTGAAATTTTCCCTGACATTATGGGTTAGATTAGATTATCACAATTTTTTCTTGCAAAACTATGTGAATTGCTCATACATATAAGCTTTACCTCATCAGAGATTTTCTGTGATTCTAAAATTGATTTAAAAGCAGCAGAAGAACGTTGCGTACAAACTTGTGCTTTCATTCTCGCAATTTTTTTCTAATTTTCTCGAATTATCTCTTTTCTGTGGGTCGCAGGCCCCAGCGCTTTAGCGAGCTAGGTGGGCTGTTCTAGCAGCTAGGATTCCGTGTATCGTTAGGTACCCGCTGTTGAAGAACCAAGGGGCGTGGCTTAGTGTATGCACCTAATGGCTGGGTACCTAACGCCCGCACCTCGGCTGGGTACCTAACGCCACGCACCCCAAAGTAACTCATTGCTAGGTCAAGATGACCTACAGTACTCCTCTTTAGATTGTTGGAGGGATTGTCTTGCGCTCGCTTTCGCAATCCCAATTTCCACTAAGCGGTAGAAGAGCATGACATTCCCTCAATTTGCTTCTTACCTCAGCTTTATTTAAACGAGTTGGCATCCCGGGTTCCACCCGGTTGGAGCCAGTCTATCTTACCTCTCATGCAGCGAAACTTATCTTATTAATTCCGACTCGTCTTGGGTTCGCTTCGTACCGTCCTTACCATGTCATGATGATCATCAGATCAAAGTAAGCTTCATCGCCTCATCCTTCATGACTATGGGAAATATGACATACTAATTTTCTGCTCTATATATATATAGATATATATAAAGATGGATCGTGTACGTAATGAGCGCACTTGTACCATGAAAAGCATCCCTTTTCCCACAAAGGTGTCTCGCGAATATTTGCAAAGAATCAAATAAATTTGCGTTAGTTATCTTCAATACCATGGCATTTAAATATCTTCAATACCATGGTATTTAGAAACATCAAACTAAAACGCCTCTCAAGTATTACGCAGTCGTAACTATGAATGATATACCGTCACTGCATCTTTTTCAGTTGGATAGGTACCAAACGATGGAAGAGTTTCGCTTGTATGTGGAGCAGTGTGAAAAAACAAAAGCACTGCTGCCCGAATGGTATGATCATCGTGTCAAAGTTGAAACTGAGCTGCGTGGACTTGCACGGCAGGTACCATCCTACTGTAAGGTTTTCTTTTTTCGAAAAATGACGAAAATTTTATAATTACAGCTTGAGGAGTGGGAAGTGGAATCAATTACAGCTGCAATCAGTTCAATGGTTGCAAGTGGCGTTGAACCTGCAGATGGTAGTAATAACTTTTATCTTGACGTGAAAGAGAAATTCAGCACGATTTTCAATTCTCAAACGGTCTCCTTTCCGGTAGAGCTTGGAGTCAATTATCTGAATGTTTTCGAAGCTCTTGTTGTCTACGCTTAGGCGAACAATATATCAGGGTTTGGATTTGAGCGTCTCATTGATTTCGGTTTCCTTGTGCTGTCATAGCAAATTCCTAATGTAAGGATGCAAATCTATAATAATTATATGAATCTATAGTTTGTAAGGAAAGTTTCCGGGATAGTTTTGGAACTTTGATTTTGAGACTCGTTTTTTTGCATCCGGTCAAATTTTTACTACATATTTTATGCACTGTTTTGTAGTAGAAAGCACAACTTTCTATCGACGGTTTTAATTTTTAGGCGCAAAAATCGATCTACACAGAAAAAGAAATCATTTCAAGAGTAAAAATTTCACAATCCCCTTTTTTCAATTTTCCGTGAAATAGGCAAAATTGCTCAAATTTCAACTCTTTCAAATGAGAAGCCTGTCGACTACAAATCCGCGAGCAGGGTCAAGCAAGGGGTGTGGCACACAATCGCTGGTTACGACCCCCCCCCCCTGATTGCTACCTTAATAAGACCCCCCCCCAGTGGCGTACCCAGGATTTCGGCTCGGGGGGGGCGCGACAAAAATTTTTTTCTAATGAAGGTGCGTGGCGTCAGCCACGCACTCCGAAAATTTTTTTGGGATGTTTCCCAAAATTTTTCCGGGCCCCTGACCCCAAAATTTCAGAAAAAGGGGGCGTGGCGTTAGCCACGCCCCCGAAAAAAAATTTTTTACAAAGCTAATTTGAATTTTTAAAAATTTTCAAAAATTATTTTAATTATTTACAAGTAAAAACAAGTCCTCTGCACATTTTTATAACACATTTAAGTAACTTTCAAAAATTTCGCGACCCATTCTCGGGGGGGGCGCGCGCCCCCCCCCCCCGCCCCCCCCCTCGGTACGCCACTGCCCCCCCCCCCCTGAACTATACACTTAAGATAGCATTACTTGAAGGCCCTGTCAAACATAATGGGCAACATATCCATAACTAGCGTGCCAAGTAACCGCTGTAGACAAAACATATCCATAACTAGCGTGCCAAGTAACCGCTGTAGACAAAGTGTGAGCGAATTCTGAAGATTCAAGATATTAGGCTACTTAAGTGAAATGGTCATTTTCCAACATGGTTAACTTTGTTTCAAAGGTAAAATAGCTAACCGTTTTTGCACTCAAAACAAAGCACTACTCTTTCTTTGTCCACATCCGAAATCTCGCTTCAAAAGACCTCCAAACTGTGGGATTAGAAGCCAACCAAAATCTCGTTTTTCCCATTTTTCGCTTTTGATCGCTGTGCTTTCACCAAATTTTACTCAGAGCTAAGAAGACGAATCAGGCTCCAAACAGTCCTATGGAATCTACAAGATTTAGGCTATCGATTCATATAAATACTGTCCGCTATAATTGTTTTTTTGATATAGTTAATGGGGTGCGGCACACCCCCTTAAAAGCTGCGGCGACCGCAGCTTTTAAGGGGGTGTGCCGCACCCCATTAACTATATCAAAAAAACAGTCATAGCGGACAATATTTATATGGATCGATAGCATAGATCTCCAGTTTTCACAGGAATTATTTTAACCTGATTCGTTTTCTTTGCTCTGAGTAATATTTGGTGAAAGCACAGCTATCAAAAGCGAAAAATGGGAAAAACGAGATTTTGGTTGGCTTCTAATTTCACAGTTTGGAGGTCTTTTGAAGCGGGATTTCGGATGTGGACAAAGGAGTAGTGCTTTATTTCGAGTGCAAAAACGGATAGCTATTTCACCTTTGAAACAAAGTTGACCATGTTGGAAAATGACCATTTCACTTAGGTAGCCTAGTATCTTGAATCTTCAGAATTCGCTCAAACTTTAATTGGCGTGCTAATTATGGATATGATACGAATACCATATTACCACTATTATCAGATTACCCAACTACGACCCCCTCCCCTTTTGAGTCCTCATTACGACCCCCCAGGTGTGGCGTGCCGCACCCCACGCTTGACCCTGTCCGCGAGTTACCGGATATAAGCTCCCAGCTCTCTTTATGCGTAAGGAAATCATGCACGAACAAGATGATTCAAGAATATCCTTTTTTCCTTCTGCGCATGCTGGCCCGATGGAGTGCTGAGGACGGGTGCGTGGCGTTAGGTATCCAGCCAAGGTGCAGACGTACCCAGCCATTAGTCTTATACACTAAGCCACCCCCCTTGGTTGCTTCAATAGCGGGTACCTAACGATACACCGAATCCCAGCTGCTAAAACAGCTCACTTAGCTTGCGAAAGCGCTGTCGCTTGCGACTCACAGAAAAGAGAAGAGTTCGAGGAAATCAAAAGAAAAAAGCGCAATGAAAGAGTTCTTTGTAGTGCTTTTTGGAGGATCATAAATTGTTTCATATTCATCCTCTTTTCTAGCAGCAAAATATGGTCAATTTGGCCGACAAAAGCTATAGTTTTTTTTGTAGCTCACTAAAAAGCGAAAGATATCGTAAAAATTGCTCCCAGTAGAGTTTGATGCTTTTCCCTATATCTATCGGCACACACTCCATTAAAATAGGCTTCAAATTCACTCTGTGATGCAAAACTTTCATTGATTAGAACAGAGCTTGTGTTTTCCCATACGTTATGGGTCACATATATAAAGTTCTGATTTTTGATGACAGTTTCTCGTAGAAACTCTCTTTCTAATCGATTCCACTTCTCATTGTCAAAAAATGTATTTGAAGCAGTTTTTTGAAACAGAATATTTCGCGCATCTAACTGCCAGGAGCATCTGTTTACTGGAATCCTACAAAGTTTACTTTTTGAAATTGCTGACATTATCGATTAGATTCGATTATCACATTTTTTATTGAACTGTGTGAAGTCACATAAAAGCTTCTAAAGTTGAAAAAAAGAGGTAACAGAAAAACGTCATGCACACTTGCGCTTTCATTCGCGTGTTCGCCTTTTGAGTGAAAAGGGTGCGGCTTATACACCTGAAAATAGGGTAATAAAATGCGGTGTCTTGTAGACAACATATTATTTGTAACAATATTTGCAGCTTTCAAAAAGGATCAATCTGCATGAAGTTACACCCGCTTTAAAAAAGATTGCGCAGGGGCTCGAGAACTTTCTTTACAACCTATTACAATAATGACCAAGGTCTGAAAGCTTTCTTAACCCTTTCCCTGCTTACATACATAAATGACCAGCGAAACTAAAATGAAACTTTTTCTAGTTGACAACCCTTCTACAGATGCGATGCCACGCTCAAGCGTGCCTCTGCGGCTGTCTAAATCGGTTCAAAAGAAGATCAGGAGAAAGAGGGGAAGGAGTTTTTTGTGCCGTCGTAAAAGTAAAGGTAATTTACCTTTGCTTTCAGTTGAATAGAAGATTGATAGGTAATTTTACGAGAGAAATCGCGCCGCTTTTGATATGAAAGTGAGATGCTAACCACCCGTTTTGCGTGAAGCACTTCAAATACAGTTCGAGTGAAGTTTTAGCGCAAGTTTGCGGATACGCACAAAATAAAAATTCACGATGCTGTAGGTACTATTTTTCAGGTCCAACCTCGCTCGTATTCGCTGTGAAGTGTGGTGGCGTAAGAGAGAAGAAAACTGTAGGTCGAATGCTTGAGTCAGCGAGCAGTAAAGCCCTTCAGGACCATATTGACAGTACTGTAGCGTTATTAGAGCAGGATAAGACTTTGACGGAGAATCTTGCTAAAGCTGTCGAAGGGCTTATCGAGAAGGAATGTCTTTTGCTACAAGTAAGTTCCATTTTTGTTTCTGAGCCACAAAATCGCATCACGGAAGTTTCAGAAGATCAATTTTGGTGGGCACAGCGAGAATGATTTCTTCTTGCCACCGGAAACCAGTGCCAACGCCTTAATTGTTGGTGCTTTCAAATGCTATCAAATTTTTTATTCAAGAAATTCCAACTTATTCTTGCTCTCTGTTATAATGTTTAGGCCGTTGTGTGGCGTCTCAGTCGCCAAAATTTCTGCACGCCAAAATTTCTATGCGACATGCTTGGTATTTTGATGGATCTGAACTGGTCATTGCATCTCGCAGAAGCCGTCAGAGACATTACGGTTTGTTTCATGGTTCAGATTAATAAGCTCGCATACTCTCTGCGTTTTCTGTACCCTATTTTCAGGTGTATAAGCCGCACCCTTTTCGCTCCAAAGGCGAACACGCCAAAAGACTGACTGTCATCATGGAGCGCGTTAAGTGAGAGCAGTATGCGATAAGGCGACCGCTTCGCGAGACATATGCGCGGCGGCACACCTGGGTCTGCTCGCGTTTAGAGCAAAAAGGGTGCGGCTTATACACCTGAAAATAGGGTAATTGTTTCTAGAATCTGGCTCTCGAAGGTTCTCAATATCGCGGCGAAGTGTCATTGCAGCTTCGCACTTTCGCTGACAAAGCTGGGCAATGCCAGAGTGTTTGTCGCTTGATAATGGAATATTTGGAACTGCAGTAACATTAACATTGGTGTTGGCATTCTATGCCATCATTTGCTAATGATCCTCATAAACTCATATTGTTCCGCTACATTGCTGTTCATGGAATGAAGAGTTCTGATATCATTTTGTGCCCTTTTGGGTTCTCTCGAAGGAGAACTTAAAGTCGAGTACTGCAACATAACTGGATAGTAATGTTAGGTGTAGAGACGTTGATTACGGTGAGAGTATTCTCAATAAAGTTAAACATTATTATATTGTTGTGGCGAATTTTGTTGGTAATGATATTAGTGTAACGTGAGTTTTGGATTCAAGGGTTTGAGGGGGAAAGATCCATAAAATATGGAAATGAAAACCCAGAACTGTGGACCCCTCGAGTACAGTAATTCAAAGGAACCTCTTGGTGTTATTGGCAAGCTTCAACCTCTTTGGGCTAAGTTCTTCCAGTATGTAGCCATGCACATGCTGCAAAAACTACAGTTCAACGAACATGAGACCACGGTTTAACAAGAGGTGTGCTCCCTCCCCTTTGCGTTTTCGTTTCCGCTACCGTAGGCATAACATAAAGGCTCTACCAAGCATAATAGTAATATATACATACTTGCAATCATCTGCCAAATAACCCATGTGGGATAAGTTTTAGCTAATTTTAGGTACCCAATGGGCCACCCAAAAGAAGGGGCCATTTTCAAACATGTTTAACAATATCAAACGTCAATTAGCTACCTCTTTTTATACTCGATACAAAGCACTACTTCCTACTTGGTGACACCAAGAATTCTGCTATAAATAACCCTTAAACTATGGAAAAAGGTGTCTCAGCTAAGCTCTCGTTTGTCCCATTTTTCGTTTACAGTGATTGTGCCTCCAGCGTATCGCTTGAAAGAAAAAAGACAAATTCAGCTGTAATCACTTCTACAATTCTACGGGATCTTGACTATCGAAATGTGCATAAATTGTTCTCTAACATCTTATATAGCTGAATGTCTGTTTGTATGACTGTATGTATGTCTGTCTGTATGTATCGTATGTTCCGAATAGAAATTCTTATTTCTGTACCGATCCTAACCAAACTTGGCACACATACACTTCGGGGCCGGGCGGGTGTCATAGGCTACTTTTCGTCATCCATCGATATCGATTTTATTGATTTTTCAAAAAGTTCGAGCTACGGGCTGGGAGTTGGCACAGGGGGTAAGTGAGCATGCTGATTACGAATATGTTATTGACAGGGCCGGGCGGAGCCGGGTTTGCCAGTCAGTTTTCTCTCTAAAGATAAGTTGATGGGGTGTGGCACAGCCCACTAAAGCTGTGGCTGCCACACCTTTTTAGAAGTTGTGCCACACCCCATCAACTTACCTTCAAACCATCTATACCTGCGTTTTTTTGGATTTCATTTAAAATCGCTTCATCCAGAGAAAGATGTAGTCGTTTTTTTTCTACGTATACAAACGGGAGATACTGCGAAAATATAAGGTTACGGTAACATGCTAAGTCTGCGCTACTACGTGAATCGAATGGGAAGGCAACAAGGGTAAGTGTATGATAGAGTAAGCTTGGCTAAGTTGGCTTGTTTGCAAATCGATAACTAACAAAAAGTCTAACTAAGCAATCAAAAGGGCAGAAGTACAGTATACGTAAAAGGAGCCAGACTACCTAGATGACACAATGAACTTTGCCGACGCCTTTTGATATAGGGAGTTAAGCCGATGGCTCTACCCCTTGGATATCTTTTTACGTAGATATTCTTTTGAGTGTGATATTACAGTACCATGGACTAACAATGTCATCGTTGGCAGATCAAACCCACAAGAGATACTTTGTTCTCTCGAGGACAGTGGGCGATGAGACCTTCCAAACTTCGGTTGCGCAACGAGTCCTACCAAGAAATGTGCAAAATTCCTAACTGTTCATTATGTCCTGCAACTCCAACTTAACCTTCATGTGAGTTTAGCATTTGAATTGTGAGTACTCAACAAATGGCATACTCTTTCCAACCTTATGTGGGCCCAAGCACTTCATATGAAGCTGCGCGTTGCTGAAGGCTTTCCCAGCGCATAACGCTGGCATTTCGCCAGAGATTAAAAAGAAAGAGAACACGCAAACATGGGGTCCTAGGTACCATGTGATTTGGGGTTTACGCTCAGCTCCCACGAAGCTAAAGCTCGACATTTTAATTTCGTCCTGATGTGGTAGAAACAAGCTGTGCTTATTTCAGCAATTTGATTGAATATGCGAATGTCTAGGAGAACTCATTGTCAGAGGTGCCGTTGATTACGTACTTCGGAATACTCCTGGAATATCTACTCTACCTACAAACTTTTTAGAAATGCTTTCTAAGAATTTCTTTCAACCTGTTCGCCGGTGATACATTAGTTAGTAGATGCTTTTTCTGCACACTTCTGGCACGAGCTTTTCAGCATATAACATTTTGGATGTGTTTGAAAGTTATGATTCACGCGATGAAAAGTAAAAAGTTCAACCCTTTATTCGAAGCTGATTCAAACTCCATGGCGAAGATACAGTCACAAAATACAGAAACGAATATAGCCTTGTGGGAATGTCACTTCTTTGACGAGTAACTCACGAGTGTATATGGTAACAACTCTACCACTGCTATAATAATGCAAGGTGGAGTGCGGTACGTAGTGCGATACAACATAATAGCAGATGTAGAGTACAGGAAGATATCAACTTGATGTCATGGTATCGGTAGATATTCCTTAATCAAGTCACGTGACTGGTCACGTTCCCATTTGGCACAGTCAGCGAGAGCGCGAAGCTTAAATGCAGCTTCGGGTCGACATTGAGGATCTTCGACAGCCCGATTCTACAAAATGCGAACGTTAAACTATAAATTCGATGGTAAAGGAGCAGCAGAGAGCAACAAACCGTAGTGTCTCTGACAATCTCGGCTTGACGCAATGACTCTTTTAGAGTCATCAACATACCGAGCATGTTGGAACCGAAATCGGGCTCGAAAAAATTTAAGCGACTGAGACGCCATACAACGGCCTGAACATTAGTTCTAGTATGAATCAGTTCATAGAAACTACAGCGTATTATATTTGTAACCTGATTAACTTTAACTTTAGTAAGCACTAGTTGACTTACCCGGCTTCGCCCGGCCCTGTCATTATTATATTCGTAATCAGCATGCTCGATTACCCCCCTGTGCCAACTCCCAGCCCCGTAGCTCAAATTTTGCAAAAAATCGATAAAATCGATATCGATCGATGACGAAAAGTAGCCTATGACACCCGCCGGGGCCCGAAGTGTATGTGTGCCAAGTTTGGTCCGGATCGGTTCAGAAATGGAATTTTCTATTCGGAACATACGTACATACATACAGACAGACATACAGACATACAGACATACAGACATTCAGCTTTATATATAAGACTAGCTGGCTTACCCGGCTCCGCCGTATCCGGACCAAACTTGGCACACATACACTTCGGCGGGTGTCACAGTCCACTTTTCGTTATCGATCGATGTCGATTTTACCGATTTTTATCGATTTTTTTGCAGAGTTCACCTACAGGGCTAGGAGTTGGCACAGGGGGGGGGAAGTGAGCATGGGGATTCCGAATACAATATTAGTTTCCAGAATTATCGATTACTTTTATTGATTTTATCGATTTTTTGTAAATTTTGACATGCGAGGCTGGGAGTTTGCACGGGGGGTAATCGAGCATGCAGATTACGAATACAATATTAGTTTTCAAGATCGTCCATTACTTTTATCGATTTTATCAATTTTTTGAAAATTTGAGCTAGGAGGCTGGAATTTGGCAGGGGGGTGTAATCGAGCATGCTGATCACCCCTCTTGGGTGTAATCGAGCATGCTGATCACCCCTCTTGGGGGTGATCAGCACGCTCGATTACCCCCCTGTGCCAACTCCCAGCCCCCTAGCTCAAACTTTGCAAAAAATCGATAAAATCGATAAAAGTAATCGATAATCCTGAAAACCAATATTGTATTCGGAATCCCCATGCTCGATTACCCTCCTGTGCGAACTCCCAGCCCCATAGCTCAAACTTTGCAAAAAATCGATAAAATTAATCGATAATCCTGAAAACCAATATTGTATTCGGAATCCCCATGCTCGATTACCCCCCTGTGCCAACTCCCAGCCCCGTAGCTCAAACTTTGCAAAAAAATCGATAAAATCGATATCGATCGATGACGAAAAGTAGCCTATGACACCCGCCGGGGCCCTAAGTGTATGTGTGCCAAGTTTGGTCCGGATCGGTTCAGAAATGGAATTTTCTATTCGGAACATACGTACATACATACAGACATACATACAGACAGACATACAGACATTCAGCTTTATATATAAGATGGATGAGGTCAAAACGTCCACCCCTCTGCCTCCCAAACTGCTCTGCGACTTTTAAGAATTCCACAAGTTTGTTTAAAGGTAAAGCTGCAGGAAAGTTGAGACCGAGATTCTGCGTCTAAATGCGATCGGCTATCGGACTTCGTGTCATGACACTCCACCCATTTTGGCGATAAATGACTGATACTCCGACAAACAATGGCTTTTCTAAAGATACGAGTTTTCCGCTCTCTAACCGCCTACAGGACTGAGAATGCAATCGTAAATAAAAACAGCTTTTTGTACGATCTTGTCTCCGGCAAATGAAGGGCCCGCAATTGAAATTGAAGTCACAACTGCGGATCCACTGCTCTGAAGCAGTGGCGGTTTAGTAATTTTTTACGATGAAGGGGGGGGGGGGGCAAAAACCCTCGAGTTAACTGGCGTGGCAATACCCAAATTTGGATCTTTTCAAAGTTTTCCAAAAACCCATACCTTCCCCCCCCCCCAAATTCTGAGAAAAGGGGCGTGGCAGCAGCCACATTCCCGGATTTTTTTTTACAAAGCAATTTCGAGTTTTTAGAACATATCTAGGATTATTTTGGTTGTTCACAATTTATTTTGGTTGTTTACAAGTAAAAAAGCCATTTTAAGCATTTATATACCCCTCAGTCCGGTACTGCTGCAAAGGTACATGCAGCGGTTCTGCAAAACTGAATATCTCGGGATCTTAATATGTTGAGTTGCTCACACCCCGATGTAAATAAAGAGTAAGTCCGAGCGCACATTATGCTGCCCCTGCTAGGAAAACGTCTCAAACTGCGCGCAAACCATTCTTACACGCGCTCGGACGACCTCGCGGTTTCCCTACATTCGTCGGAGGCGGCATACCGCAATGTGACAATGGTCCCACCACGACCCTGCGTCTCTAAGCTTGGCGGAACCGTTCCACTTGTGCAAATCCAAAACGAGTCTTGAGGTACTAGAATTCGCCACTTCCACTATTTTTAAATTGGATTTTCGAGGGAGAAGGAGAATGGCGCGTACTTGTCAATGGTCACTCTAGAAGGAGCAAGAAGGAGCCCCAATCTACTGCTATTCCGAATTTCAGCTACTGATCTTCTATTACCTTGTTTTTGTAGAGTACAAATCTGGGAATGACGACTTAGGAAACGCGCCTTTCGATCACACACGCGATTTTCGAAACTAGCACGTCGGACCCCCACTTAAGCAGGAATACCCCAGGTAAGCAGGAGTATTTTAGGTTTAGGATTTGCTCCACAGTTTGATTTATCAGATTTGGGGAAGGGGCAGATATCTGAAAAAACGGGGTCAAATGCAATCGCCCGCTGGGAGAAATGTGAAGTAAATTATCACTCACAAGCAAAGTGTAGACATTAGTATCACTTGGCAATAGGAAATCTCGGGATTCCTTGAAACTGCCGCAATCGATCTTCTGAAATTCAGCGTAGAGTTAGCAGTCCAAAACTAAATACAAAATCTTACTTCAAAAAAGAGAACTTCCTTTTCTCTGAGCGCTTCGATAGCTTTGATGAAATTCCCCGTCAAAGTTTTATCCTTCTCCAGAAGTGCTATAGTGTCGTCTATGCGTTTTCGAAGCGAATCACTGCAGGCCTTGAACGCGCACTCTGTGACCGGTGTTGGGTCTGAAGATGTGGCTTTTCCTAGACACCAAGCATTATTCGAATTATATCAAATCGCTTTTATTTTGCTAAAACTTCTGCCAGAAGCTCTTAGTCATACTTAAAAATTATTGTTTATCGATATGTGACGTATCAGTACCAAACCTTGGTACATAACATCAGAAAATTTTCGTGTCATGTAAGGCCTCGCTCAGAGTTTACGCGATCTCATTGTCGCGATTGATCGCGACAAGACAACTGTGATGATATCATTGCATGCCGATCTTTTTGCATTCCGGTTGTGATATATTATCTCTTGTATTTGGGTTGTGACTAACTATCACAACCCAAATACAAGAAGATCGGCATGCAATGAACTCGTAACACTTGTCTTGTAGCGATGAATCGCGACGATGAATTCGCGTGAACTTTGTCCGAGGCCTAAGGTGGATCTTCGGATGCTCCTCACTGAGAAAGGTAAGAATTCAAAAAATTGCAGGTACTTTTCTCTTCGAAAACACTATTGAGAACTGGGCAGAGACACAATGCTTTGTTCAAAAGTCTGCTTATGGCTTCCGCAGTAAAGTGATCTGTGCTAGCGCCATATAGCCAACTCTTTTGAGAATCACAGATTTATATTATACTTGAACTCGCTTCCAAGTTCATTTTTGCAACGGAACTTTGTATCCTTAGTGAGAGGCACCGCTCTTGCACCGCAGCAGATCTCACCGGGCTCGATTTGAGTGGACAGTAAAGTCATCGTAAATTTTACGTTTCCTTCGTGAACATACGTGTGCAAAGGGGGAACATGGCCTCTCCAGGGTGAAGGGGGTCATAGGGGTCCCGCCTCTCCAGGGTGAAGGGGGTATGAGGGCCGCTAGGGGGGGGGGGGAGGGCGGCCGCGGCTGTGGAGGTGCGTCGACCGGGGGGGGGGGGGCAATGTTCATCATCATTGCTCCTCATGTTCTTTTCATTCACATGCATCATGAAATTGTAGCCAAACCGGGTTAAAGTCGAATATTGGGTTTTACAGGCTGAAATTCGAAGAAGAAAACCTGGAATAAGTGAGACTAAGAAATCAACATTTTAAGCAAAATTATAAAACTATCCACATTATTAAAATCAAATTTAGTGACATGTTGATTCTGAATATTATTATTATGATTGTCAAAACTTACTTGCAGCTCACTGAGAAGTACAGCGGAAATTTGCCGCCTATTGTTCACTTCTAGAGAACGATGAAAAAGCCTGGAGAAAAATTTACGTGTGAAGCCTTTGTGTATATACGTCAATAAAGTTATTACTCACGTATTTGCTGAAATAATAAGTGAAACAATAGATAACTTTAATGATCGGTGCGCATTTGAATTGCATTCCTTTTGAGGAAATAAACTTTCTAGGCAGATGGCGGAATCCGTGTAAAGTCATTGAATGATTCCTTAAAGAGTCATTGTTCCAACTTTTAATATTATTTCTAAACTCCAACAGAGATCGTAACATTTGCGTAGAGAAGCAGGTGCAACAGAGGCACCTATTACATCTAAGACTTTGTGTAATCAGAGTAGTCTTACTGTCAAAATGTTTAGCTACGAAGATCGTGAAGTTCTAAAATCCGCCTACTTGGACGATGATAGGGATGAGGAAAGCAACCAGAGATGCATTTTTCCACCTTGGAGCACTATACAAGAGGAGAAGGACAATCGCATGTGATCACTGCGTGATTATTCTGAAAAAAATTTTGTTTTCCATCGAAGAAGATTGAGAAATAAAAAAGATCTTGGAAGGAGAACTCAGTCATAATTAGCCTACTCTAGTTTAGAAGTCTATTTTCCATCCGCCTTCAGAAAACATACAGCTTGCCAGGAAAAAGAGGAGTTTTTCCTGCTAAATAGAAATAGTTTTAGTTTTTTTTTAAATTGTAGAATTTTTCTATAAAAAATTGTAGATTTTTGATATGAGAAGATAAGAGAGTCTCTAGCCATACATTGGATTACTCTTGTTGAAAGCTTCCAGAAAATATTTAGCTTACCAAGAAGAAAGGATTTTCCTGTATTGTGAAGGTGGTCGCAATTGTTTTTCTAAAATTAAGGAAATTTTTTTATAAAAATTCATAACTTTACTATACGGAAAGCTAGAAGAGTGCTTTGCACTCTATTGGAATCCCCTTGTCGTCCGCTTTCAAGAAATGTATAGTTTGCCAGGAAAAAAGAGGATTTTCCTATCGGGTGAAAGGGGTCGCAGTCTATTTTCCGGAATTAAGCCAATTTTTAACTTAAAAAAATCATAACAATTTTATATGAGAAGCTGGGAGAGTGACTAGGTGTTTATTGAATTCCTCTCGTCGTCCGCTTTCAGAAAATATATAGATTTTAGGGAGAGGGATGCTAAAAGTACGTGGTGAAAGGGGGAGGAACATGGTATAATGGGCATGTTCCTTTAGCTCCTTAAAACGACGCTTTTTGAGTACAGAAAGGAAGATTTCCATTATACCATGTTCCTCCCCCTTTCACCACGTACTTTTAGCATCCCTCTCCCTAAAATCTATATATTTTCTGAAAGCGGACGACGAGAGGAATTCAATAAACACCTAGTCACTCTCCCAGCTTCTCATATAAAATTGTTATGATTTTTTTAAGTTAAAAATTGGCTTAATTCCGGAAAATAGACTGCGACCCCTTTCACCCGATAGGAAAATCCTCTTTTTTCCTGGCAAACTATACATTTCCTGAAAGCGGACGACAAGGGGATTCCAATAGAGTGCAAAGCACTCTTCTAGCTTTCCGTGTAGTAAAGTTATGAATTTTTATAAAAAAATTTCCTTAATTTTAGAAAAACAATTGCGACCACCTTCACAATACAGGAAAATCCTTTCTTTCTTGGTAAGCTAAATATTTTCTGGAAGCTTTCAACAAGAGTAATCCAATGTATGGCTAGAGACTCTCTTATCTTCTCATATCAAAAATCTACAATTTTTTATAGAAAAATTCTACTATTTTGAAAAAAACTAAAACTATTTCTATTTAGCAGGAAAAATTCCTCTTTTTCCTGGCAAGCTGTATGTTTTCTGAAGGCGGATGGAAAATAGACTTCTAAACTAGAGTAGGCTAATTATGACTGAGTTCTCCTTCCAAGATCTTTTTTATTTCTCAATCTTCTTCGATGGAAAACAAAATTTTTTTTCAGAATAATCACGCAGTGATCACATGCGATTGTCCTTCTCCTCTTGTATAGTGCTCCAAGGTGGAAAAATGCATCTCTGGTTGCTTTCCTCATCCCTATCATCGTCCAAGTAGGCGGATTTTAGAACTTCACGATCTTCGTAGCTAAACATTTTGACAGTAAGACTACTCTGATTACACAAAGTCTTGGATGTAATAGGTGCCTCTGTTGCACCTGCTTCTCTACGCAAATGTTACGATCTCTGTCGGAGTTTAGAAATAATATTAAAAGTTGGAACAATGACTCTTTAAGGAATCATTCAATGACTTTACACGGATTCCGCCATCTGCCTAGAGAATTTATTTCCTTAAAAGGAATGCAATTCAAATGCGCACCGATCATTAAAGTTATCTACTATTTCACTTATTATTTCAGCAAATACGTGAGTAATAACTTCATTGACGTATATACACAAAGGCTTCACACGTAAATTTTTCTCCAGGCTTTTTCATCGTTCTCTAGAAGTGAACAATAGGCGGCAAATTTCCGCTGTACTTCTCAGTGAGCTGCAAGTAAGTTTTGACAATCATAATAATAATATTCAGAATCAACATGTCACTAAATGATTTTAACAATGTGGATAGTTTTATAATTTTGCTTAGAATGTTAATTTTTTAGTCTCACTTTCTCCGCTTCCTTATCGGCCGTGGGTGAAGGGGGGTCAGCTGGGTTCCGGCCCTGGGGTGAAGGGGGTAGGAACACATTATCGCCTTTTCACATGTATGTTCGTGAATTCCTCTTGAACCTGCCTCCCCTGCGTTTCCGAATGTTCTGTATCATCACTGTGTAGTTGTGCACCCGCGCTTGAGCCTGACATCGCACCTACACTCTAGCCGATTTTAAGGCAGTGTTTCACCAAAATTGGCGTAGTGCGGATCTCCACATATTCTGTTAGAGGCCACTTTGAATAAGCGACCGTCCAAGCCCGCTCGTTCCTGGGCCTCCAAAAAATTTGCACTCAGAGTGACCCAGCCAATTATCGCCAAAATGAGGGAGTTACAGTTTCCTGTGGCCGTATTCATCAATGAACCCTGAGGGTTAAATTTACCCCCAGGGTTAGTTTAACCCTCAGGGTTCATTGGCCGTATTCATCAACCATAGGGTAGGGTTTGCCACCAAACGCAATCCACCCGTATCGATCAACGAACCTGTGGCCGTACTCATCAACGAACCCTATGGTTGATGAATACGGGCAATGAACCCTGGGGGTTAAACTAACCCTGGGGATAAAGGCGTCAGTTACACGCGCTGTGCAAGCTCACATTACAGAATGCCTAAGTACGTGCTAAATTCACTTTATACTTCTATTCTTTCACTGTCACAGTAGTATAATCAACGATTAAGCTTCTAACACTAGTTTTTATAATACATCTCTAGCATATTTGTGCAGCATCCAATCTTACAGCGTGAGTTTATTTTCATGTGTGCAATTGTGCCGTGTAAGTTCTACTTTTGCGCAGTTCGTTTTATACCGGGCTTGTGCTACTCTTTTAGGGGTCAATGCGTGTTATCATAAAGTGGTTCTTCTGTTTTGGCACTTGTCGGAGTGGAATGCGCAACCATTATTCCTCGTCGCATTCACTTGTCACCAAAGCTAGAATTCTTTTTCTCGCGAACTCAGTGTTTCATGTGCTTCGAATTTGAACATAAAACTAAGTCGAAACTAAATACTATAAATCTAATACTGAATGCTACAATACTCGTTGATTGTTTTTCATAAAACTACTAGATGCGAGTAAATATTTGTATGAAGTGTCAGGGTAGAGTTAACCTTGCTCTGAGCTAGGGTTAAATTAACCCTGATGAATCACGTAAGTTTAACCCTCCAGGGTTAGTTTAACCCTCACGATTCGTTGATGAATACGGGTTAGTCACTTTCGGGGTAAAATTAACCCTCAAGGTTAGATTTAACCCTCAGGGTTAATCCTACCCTGTGTTTCATGAATACGGGTTAAACGCCTTCCAGGGTTAGATTAACCCTCCAGGGTCAGTTTAACCCTCGGGGTTCGTTGATGAATACGGCCACTGTAGAGTCGCTGTTTATGGCTGGAATCCCTCGTCCATCATTTCCAACTATCTCCAAAGTATGAAATCACCATGAAAGCGCTTCTTTGTCTTTACGAGCACAGTACTGGATACAGCGCGTTCAGAAGGTCATATAGGAGTGGAAAGCTCACAGTCGCAATTTTCTCGAGTCACTGCCTTTAAACCCCAATAAGCCACTGCACACAAGGCCCATTGTGCGCTTCATACGAGGAAGTTAAAGGCGGTTGTCTTCCAAGCAAGTCTTTCCCAGCTCTTCCAAACAAGTCTTTCCCAGCTCTTTTCCTAGACCCGTTTCCTGTCACTGTTTGAGAAAATCTGTTAGGTCCTGAAAGGCACCGCTCACCAATTTAGGGGTGATGAGATTTTGAATGCGTAGAAAATCTGTTAGGTCCTAAAAGGCACCGCTCACCAATTTAGGGGTGATGAGATTTTGAATGCCGTATAATGAAGGAGCCCCTACCTAGCCGTAGCCCAAGACTCGCTGCAAAAGATAGATTTCGAAACCGTCCAGAACAGAACACGTTGGCTCCGCCCCACCGAGCTTTGATGTATCTAAAATTGTCATGGATTCCTTCAGCATCAGATTTTCGACATTCTATCTACCCCAAAGCACGATTTTGAACTTCATATCTTCAAAACACCCATATAGGCGGAGTCAACGTCGCTTCTACTTTCTAGCGGTTTTCTCGCTTTGAAATTCGTCTTTCGCAACGAGACGAAGGCAAAGGCTTAGTTGAGAGTCCCTTCTGAAGACATCAAAATCTAACTACCTTCAGGTTGGGTGGGGGCTTCAAGTGAGCGGGAAGGTAAACGACATTCACCATGGCACGCCCAACGTTTGCAGTGTAAGCAATCGTTCAGGATATATAGTTCAGGATATATAGTTGTTGATTGACCCCATGGACTGGACATCGTTGCGGAGCACGCGCCGCGAGTAGAACGCTTGCCCCAGTACAAATTCGCCATCGTATGAATCGTGCTTTCGCGACAATTAGCCGCGCCGCGCGTGGTCCGCAGGGTTTGAGCAGTCCGTGCGGTCAACGAAACGACGATATATTGGGAATATATAGGCTGCATGTCAGGAGATACGCCGCGCACGCCGCGTCTCGATCTTAGGACCCATAAAGCTCCCCATATAAGAGAATCCCAGGGGCAAAAACACGGGGGTAGGGGTGGAGGCAGATACAGTGGTTGAAGTACGTTGCGGCGCCGCATCGCGAAAAATTCGCGCCGATCGTACCTCCTGACCGTCCCCCACCCTAAGGTCAGAACCGACTTTTTTAATTGCAAAAAGGTTTGGTCGATTGCATGGATATTTCCTTAATATAGATACATGAGTATAAGAATGAAGTTCCTATGCAAATCGTCTCGGATTTGGGCTACCAAAAAATCTCCCAAATTCACACGAGAAAAATCTGATACCTTCTCCAGCATCACTGCCACGTGTAGTCATCGAGCCAACTGCACTTCGTATTGCTTCCACTTCGCACTCATTGAACTGTAAATTCAAAAGAATAAAACGAAGAAGTATATTGCAGGGATCTGAAGACCGTGCGCCAGCTCACGCAGCTCCGCTTCAACTTTGACACGATGATCGCACCATTCCGGCAATAGTGCTTTGATTGTGTGGCAGCTTTCGATGTACGAATTCAACTCCTCCATCTCTAGTGTTGCGATTACGGGACCAAACTTTCATTGTAACGACAAGTATGGTGCAGGGTAAATCAAACGGTAATAACTCGTAATAAGCTGCTTCAGATTACATTGAATGTCTTGGTATCAAACGAAAAACGCAGATTATTAAGAATATAGTGCCAGAGACAAAAAATATCCTGGGAAAGAAAAATATGAGGATGGAAGTTGCGAAAGAAAAGCGAATGACAAAGGGCCCTGTTGTTCCCCTAGAACATGCTGTATCCGATCAACCCGGTGACCGACCACTAACTTCATAGGCCCCCGCCAGAGTGCCGAAGTCACGCCAGCGCTGCGCCGGCGTCGAGCCAGCGCCGAGCTGTCCCATTTGTTCGGGGCGGGGCTAGCTGACCCTGTGCGGGCAGGCTCCGGGTCAGGAGTCACACCGCGCGCGGTGGTCGCCCGCCGCGTCCAAATTTTGTGTCTCGCAGTAACTCTCCGGTGATAAAGTGGCACGGCACGACAGTAGGGGGTGAGGGGTGGCGGCAGATACATGACTCGATGGCATAAGTAACACTGCGCCAAGAGTACTGACAGAAGCTGTGCCTTGTACTGCTTGATGTCGCGTTGCGGCGTCGCTTCGCGAAAAATCGTGACTCCTGACCCGCAGCCGCGGGCAAGGGCTACCGGAGCTTCTGGCAGATTCGATCAATAGTTGGTGCATCTACCTGGCTGAGAACTAGGTCAGCTAGCCCCGCCCAACGAAATGCACGTGTATCGATCGAGACAGCGCCGGGGCAGCTCGGCGCTAGCTCGGAGCTGGCTCGGCGCCGGCGCAGCGCTCGCGTGGCTTCCGCACTCTGGCAGGAGCGATATAGTGGTCAATCGACCTACGACCTCTGATCGCTAAGTGACGTACAACATCTTTTACCATAATGGTGGATCTGTTGTGAAATGCTTATACAGACTCACACAGAAGAAAATCGGAATTACAACAAATTAAGGCTGTATATGTGCGGCATCCCTCTTTCACTCCGCAAAAAAGATGTTATAAACCAAAATTGTGTCGAGGCATGCTTCATTTTGATTAGTCTAGAAAGAAGGAAAATTATAGAAGGGTGGGGTTGATGGTCTACAAGAAGTGTAAGAGAAACGTCGAGCTACGCAAATTTCATGCGAAAAATTCGGGTCGTGGTGCTCCCCAAGCCATAACTATAGCTGCTGTAAACCCACAGATTCGAAAGTAAACACTGTGGGTCCTGCGTAGAACATTGTAGCGGGGGTGTTTGCCTGCACAGTGGCGTGCTGGACTTTTCGTAGCTGCTTATCGATTTATGAAGGCTACCATGACTTTATTGTGCATATAATTGCACATCAAGACATTCACACCCTAATCTAAACTCTTGTTGAATAAGTACTTTATCATCAAGATTTAAAAGAAGATAGAGACTGGAAGAAGGAAGGAGTTGGTTGGGGTGGGGGCGGAGGAGTGATGAGCAGTTGGGCGACTGAGGTTGCGAAATACTTTGCTACACAAGGCGCATGACACCGAGTGCTTGTTTTCCTCATACGCTACATTAAGCGAGATGAACCCAGACACATGTGCTTTCCAGGTCAATTTCTCTGTTTTTACATTTTAGGTTAACGAGAACGGCATGCTAACAGGTCAAAAACAGGACTAGGTCAAAAACAAATCAAAGTCCGTTTATTTATGGGCCTTGCAATTGATCTTTTGCTGGTGAGGAATGTATCCGTCTGAAAGTTCTTTAAGCGTTTTGTACATTGAAAGTCTGTATCATGCCCCATTTGTTTCGCAACTTCTATAGTAAAACCTCCCTTCCTTCGGCTTATTTTACAGTAGAAGTAATGGGTCAATCATAATCGTAGACATAGTACTGGTCCATGGTAATTGTGGTACTAATGGATCGGATTTTTCGTACTATTCCAACCAAGTACGAAAGAGTCTTGATTTCGCTCACGAGTTAACTGACATTTATCATAAAATTGTTTCGATGGTACATTTAGGACCTCTTATCTAGGTCACAGATTACGGTACGTGGGTCAAAATCAATTGCTTTCCATCAAGTAGGTGGTGACTCTTCATCATGCTTAGTAGTACGGTATTTTGATTAAAATTTGAAAAAAAATGTGCTTCAAAATCTTGTTCAAACGCTTTTTCCGAAAGTCACCAATTCACCAGCCAAGTTTGAAGCTCTTCAGGAATTCGAAAGGCTTTTGGAAGGTTATAAACACTAAGAATGCGCTTAATTAGAATCCATCTGTCAATAAAAATCGCACCTCTTGACATACACCATTTCCAGGCAAGTGTTGCGAATTTCGGTAACTCTACGGTGGAGACAACTCGCTGTTCACATTCTCCGCGGGACCAACGGTGTTTACTTCCAAATATGCGTGCCTGTTTCCTCACTACGCCGTCCCATCACAACTGTCTCTCATGAAGTTAGCATGGACCAACTCATTTTACACTACTCTTGTTGCTTTAAAGAACCATCAGCTAGATGTTCACAATCTTCCCTCTCACATCTCCCAAAAAACCTCAGCGAGAGTCTCGAGAAAGCAACTTGGCTGCATTTGGACAAACGATTATTAGGATGAGAAGTAGTCTAACTTTCATTTCCCCGTGCGATTTTTGTACTTGTCTAGATACGTAAACAGTTTGCAGCATTTGAAGCTGTATTGGATTTTTTTTATATTCTGTTTTCAAAATCAAAGCTCATTGCTAGATCAAGGCGACCCTAAACCTCAACACAGTACTCCTCTATAGACTTTTGGTGGGGTGGTTAGTGTTTGCTTTCGCATTTTCGCATTACCAAGCAGTAGAAGAAGCTTGGACATCCCGTCAACATGATTTTTCCCTCATTTTATCGTGAAGAGAATCTGTACGTTATGAGCGCATAAGTATCATGAAAGACATCCATCTTTACTCCAAAGTGGTGTATAAATTCGAGCTAGATTTCTTCTAATACCACAAAATTTTGCAAAAATAAACAATAAACTAAAGCGCGTTTCAAGTATTACGCAGTCATAATCGTAGTGATGTGCCGTACCCCATCTTCTTCAGCTGTTGGAATTCCGTGGAACGTACCACAAACGATGGAAGAGTTTCGCTCGTATGTCGAACAGTGCAACAAAACAAAAGCATTATTGCCGGGATGGCATGATCATCGTGTCAAAGTTGAAGCTGAGCTGCGTGAACTTGCACGGCAGGTACCATCCTACTATCATATTTTTTCGAAAAATGACGTCTTTGTAATTACAGCTTGAGGACTGGGAAGTGGAATTAATAACCGCTGCAATCAATTCAATGGTTGCAAGTGGTGCTGAAGCTGCAGATGGTAATGATAATATTTCATGTTGACGCAGAACATACAGAAGGAGATTCACTTGAAGTTTACAGAAGGAGATTTACTCGAAGTTTTTGATTTTCAATTTCCAAACAGTCTTGTGTCGATACAACTTCAAGAGCCAGAAATTGGGTACCATTCCCCATTGTTTGACCCTAGAAATGAAAATCGCTAGAAGTTCGTTCAAGGGGATAATTTTGCACGGCGATTAGAAACATCACGTTTATTTTACAAGTAGCGCCATCTGGTGGAGTTACGGTAGGAGAAAATCACGGTTTGCCCCAAAATCCGTCTAAGCAGGTTTTTTGGCACGCTGAACATGATTATCAGAATCGCTTCGTACGGTAGGCGCCATTTTTTCGGGCGGTGGTTATACGGTAGACGGTTTAAAATAATTTGCTCGGTTTAAAATAATTTGCTCAAAAAGTAGCCTATAAGTTGCAGCCAGATCCGCGCTTTTTATTTGCTGGGTCAACTAATGTGGAATAGCGCCGTCAATTGTCTGAATGTTCTAAACTTCATATTGTCTACGCTTATGCGAAAAAAGCATTAGGGTTTGTGTTTTAAGTTTACTTTGTGTGAAGTTTCGGTGAAACCCTGTTATCAGAGCGAATATTGAAAGTAAAAATAAATACTTAACGTGTGAATCTACAGGTGCTTATGATGAATAGTTGAGTTCTGGTGACAGTTCATGTGAAGCTTTTCTAATTGACAGCCGTGCATATGCAGGTGCGATCCCACCACGGTCAAGCGTGCCTCTGCGGCTGCCTAAATCGGGTCAAAGGAGATTTCAGAGAAGAAGGGGAAGAAGATTTTTGTGCAATGATGGAACCAAAGGTAATTCGCATTAGTTTTCGGTTAGATATGACATTGGCGAAAGGCAACTTTACAAGAGTAATTCCGATTTCCTTGATATGAAAGGGTGGTGCAAACCGCTCATTTTTTAAGAAGCACTTCAAGTACAGTTCGAGTGAAGATTGCGCAAGTTTGCGGATACGCACAAAATAAAAATTCACGATGCTGTGTGTACTATTTTTCAGGTCCAACCTCGCTCGTATTCGCTGTGAAGTGTGGTGGCGTAAGAGAGAAGAAAAGTGTAGGTCGAATGCTTGAGTCAGCGAGCAGTAAAGCTCTTCAGGACCATATCGGCAGTACTGTAGCATTACTAGAGCAGGATAAAATTTTGACGGAGGATCTTGCCAAAGCTATTGATGAGCTTATTGACAAGGAATTTCTATTTCTAGAAGTGAGTTCCATTTTCGTTTCTGAGCTGCAAAATCGCATTACGGAAGTTTCAGAAGATCAATTTTGGTGGGCACAGCGAGAATGGCTTCTTCTTGCCACCGGAAACCAGTGTCAGCGCTTTAATTGTGAGCGCTTATAAATACCGTCAAATTTGCTATTCAGAAAAAAAATTCTAACTTATTCTTGCTCTCTTTTATATTGTTTAGGCTGTTGTGTGGCGTCTAAGTCGCCAAAACTTCTCCATGCAAAAATTTCTGTGCGACATGCTTGGTATTTTGATGGATCTGAACTGGTCATTGCATCTCGCAGAAGCTGTCAGAAACATTACGGTATGTTTTTATGGTTTGGCTTGAACAGCGTGCACACTCTCTGCGTTTAACCTTGTAATTTTTTTTAGAATCTGGCTCTCGAAGGCTCCCAATATCGCGGCGAAGTATCCTTGCAGCTTCGCACTTTCGCGGACAAGGCTGGACAATGTCAGAGTGTTTGTCGCTTGATAATGGAATATCTAGAAATACGGTAGCATTAACTTGGGTTTGCCTCGTACTGTCTATCTGCTCGTGTACAGTAAACTCATATGTATAGAGAGCGTCTACATACACTTATACTCATTATCTACTCTGATTTTTGGACACACGTCCCATAAACGCCATGTGCTCTTTATCCTTCTAACCTGATATTGTCCCGCTACACTGCTTAAGTTGGTTTGATATGAAGAGTTCAGATTTTCCGTGCTCTTCTGATTACTCCCAATTAGGACCCAGTCTGATTGGAAATTGAAGCTAAAAGATTATGTCTACGTCAAGTCAGATGGAACACAATGTCAACAGTTGAATGTCTGTTTGGTAGCGAGAGTCACTTACCGAGGAGCACAATACCGCTCGTAATCTGCGAAAAAACCACCGAAATCCGCCGGAATTAGCTGAAGTTTGGTTGCATCGCCATATATTGCTTTGCAGAACACGAATTCTCAATGAAAAAGGATCATTCAGTTCAGGACGAGGTGCATCTTTTAATGTATAGGAGTGCCTGTCTGGACGATAGTTGGTCAAATTTCAAGAACCCTTCCAGATTCTTCCTTACGGTAGGTTGTGTGAGTGTTGAATGTGTTGAAGAATCGTTGTGTGTTGAATCGCTGCACAACGACCAACCTACCGAAGCAAAAATTTGGAAGGGTCCTCAAAATTTAAACTATTGCGCCCTAACAAGTCTTCTATACATGAAAAGAGCACCTCGTCGACCAAGTTGAATGGTGCTTTTAGATTGAGAATTCGTCCACTCCGAAGCAAAATTTGGCGATGCAATCAAAGCTCAGCGAAATCCGGCGTAGTGCGGTGATTTTTTTTTATTACGAGCGGTATTGTAGTTTTCCACGGGCTTTCCAGATACGCATGAGTTAATCAAGGGGTTTTTTGTTATGAAGTAGAAAGCTGCCATTTCTTGCAACATAACCAGACAATAACCAGGATGGCGTGCCCTAACGTATGCAATAGCAAAAATTAAGCACGACATTAAATGATGGTGTCTAAAATGTTCACGTCAATAGGAAGAAAATTTCACAAAAATATTAGTTTGTCTGGAAAATAATGTCGTATGGCGCCCTACCGCGACAGAGTGACCACAGAAAACAGCGAATGGGGTATCATATGATAGAGCAAAGCAAGCTCTAAAAAACAGTTTACAAACTTCCGCGGAAATCTTGCCCTACCTATAGTTCGAATCCAAAATATAAAAAATTTCAGATACCCGAAAAATCGTATCTCTGTCCATAGACTTCTTAGGTACTTCAATCTGCACAGACGTGTACTCTCCACATTAGACATTCAACTGTACAGTTTGTGTTATTTTTCCATGGCTACAGTACAACGAACAACTAGGTCAAAAGTGCGAGTAAGTCGCGTTTTTCGGTTTTTTGCAGACAGTTTGGTTTTTCTCGAAAACTAGAGCTTGTCTAAAGCTGAAAATTCATGGCTGGACTCCCAAAGGTTCGTACTACAGAATCACCTATTTGAGCGAAGCTCAGAATTGCTTCAACAAAAATACGGAGAATTTCGTTTTCCCAATTTCCAGCCGTGGAAAAAACACGAAAATGTGCGTACGAGTGTCTGGTATAGTGGATCCGTAGGTGAGCAAGTTAGGGGTTTCCAACTTTTCTGATACGATTTTTTTCGTTTTTTTGGATCTTCAGTGCCTTATGAAATTTGACTCCATACTTCAAACAGATCAAACCTGGCGCGAAGGTTCGAGCTCCATTTTTTAGTGCTTGTTATGATCTATCGGCTGGCACCCCATTTACTTACTTTCCTGCTCACCCTGCCGCGATATTGCATGATAAAACACGAGGCGACATTTTCTGGACAGCAAATAGATACATCATTTGACTACTACATCCTATTCCATTCGTTTCATCATGTTGGAACTTTTGTCATAGTCCGGAATGTGAGGACGAGCATGCAATTTTGGTACGCTTTGTCCAGATGGATAAAAAGGATAAGGGCTTCGGCGTTTTCGTACCCTCTGCGGGCATGCGCCGAGCGCACTCTCATAGTCGAAGAGGCTACCGAATGCATGCGAGTCTTTTACAGTCCACTTGAATCATTATGAATTCGCAAAAACATTCGTTCACTGCGCCGCCCACCCAGATTCTCGACTTCCATGTTCTGATCGTTCCGGAGCCCTCTCATGTCTCTGATTCCGACAATTCCAGAAATTTCGCAATTCCGGAATATCGCAAATTATGCAGCGCCATAACTTCCTTCGAGATGAATATATTCTAAATCCGAAAGCAGCATTGTGTTCAGCTCGTCAGGGCGAATCTTTCGGCATACTTAATGTCATCTATATCTCGTTTCCAGTTTTGTCAAATTTTTCTGAGGAGGTCCCTTCGCAAGTATGAAACGCAGCGCCTATCCAACATAAAAGATTCCCGTAAGTACCATTCGATAGTGCTCTTCTTGTTCATTATAGTGCGCTAGAAAGCTGCCGCAGACTTCTTTTCAAAAGAGAAAGAAGCGTTGGTAGATTTTGGAAAAATCACTCGTTTCCAGATTCTACTCGCCGTAACTTTCTTTAGAGTGGAAACTTTCTGAATCCGAAAAAAGCATTGTGCTCATCTCATCAAGGCGAATTTTTCTTTGTGCAGAACGTCCTTGATATCTCGATTTCAGTATTTTTGAAACTTTCTGCGGGCGTCTCTTCGCAATGCTGTAATGCAGCGCGTATTGCCCCCAGTAGATTCAGAAAGAAATTTTCGATAGTACTTCTTCTGTAAATTATGGGGCGCTAAGAATTAGTCGCATACTTCTTTCCAAAGGAGATAGAAGGGCTGGTGAATTCTGGAAAAATCTTGTCGTCCCATATTCCACTCGCCATGACCCTAGAATACAAAGCTATCTTGCTAAGCAGATGTGTTTTTCGTAATCAGCAGGTCGGATAACCCTTATGAGCAAGTTTTCCGAGATGTTCGGGTTATTTCTTTTCTCGTTTAACGCTCTGAAGCTTACCGATGGAATTTGGTCAAAATATTGATCTTAAATTATAAGGAAACTTCGCTTACAGATGTTTTCGAACACGCTCTTTACGAAAATCAAGGTCTTTGAGGATTACAGGGTCTTTTTGGTGAGATACGGTGAGGTGACTGTAACTGAATCACAAAAGTGCGTAACTTTGCCTGCACTTCTCGCGTATGTCAAAAAACTTACTTGCTTGCTTGTTGTACAAGCCAAAGTTAGTAGGGACTGTGCCATCGAATGGTGCATGCCTCAGACTCCACTCTACAAAAATCGCCGAGTTACGAGCTTACGAAAACACATCCTCATGAATTTTGCCCAAAATGTAAAGATCGCATATTTCGTCGAAATCCCACCGTGAGTGCTTATACAACAGCTTGATCAAATCTCCTCACATACTTAATGGATCTTACTGTGTTAGATTAGGTAGTTTGAGTCTAGCCACCGAAATAGCTTTGATATTCAGTTGAGCAGCTGAAGCACACGCAAGCACCATATTCAATAGAGTGGGAGACATTGGGCGAAGCGAACACAATATTTGCAACGCGAGTGTCATACAAGCACTCACGGGGGGATTTCGACGAAATATGCGATCTTTACATTTTGGGCAAAATTCATGAGGATGTGTTTTCGTAAAGGATATCCGTCGACGACAGCCCCGTTTCGTGCATTTACACCACCGCTGGCGTGCCTTTTTGAAGCCTTTCCAGCTTTACAGTACGCTGCAGCTCGCGGGGTATTCGCGGCTCTCAGCATGCCCGTCCTTTAATCTCTTTTTGTTTTTTGAGGATTGCAAATCGTTTTTTTCTTCATTTTTATTTTAGGCAGTCACACACTTTCATACACGCAAGGCCGTTGCTCGGGAAGAAATCGGAAGGAATAATGAGTTTTCTTCCAAGTTGCAAAGGCGTATATCGTGGTTATGATTGGGAGTGCATAGTTTTCTTCGTGTTTCATAATAATTTGCCATTTTTCTCAAAAGAGACTGCTGAAGTGGGTGTTTTAGCAGTCCCACATCAAGGACACATGTAAGTGTGCTAGATAAAATAAACATTTCAGTGGTCTCATTTGAGGAGAAGGCATGCTAGCCATCACTACTCACTCCCTGCTCATGAATAAAGCATACTTTGGTGGGAACCAAGTGTCGTAGGCGATAGTGGTGTCGATAATAATTTATCCACAGACGAACCCGGTGTTGGACCGGGGGAGCAACCAATAATACATTCGGGGGCTCCTTATGTAGGTAGGAAGGCGGAGCTGACCCGTGCACAATCAGACTGTCCAAGAAATATACACAAGAAAGGGGATGCCGCGGCTTGGCGGCCCCTGGAAGATAGGTGCCACTCACTGCTGAGTGATACGGCACTTAAATATAAGCGATTGGGGAATATAGCCTATGGGGAATACCCGTAAGCTATAAGGATTATAGAATTGCTGAGGTTGATGATGCATAAATCATCAACACTCCGGGCGAGCAAGGAGGAGGGGAAATCTGTTGAAATGTAAATAAATAAATACAATCAAAACCTCCTAAAAGCGTTTGTACTTAGAAATTGAGATATAGCTGTGTTCATGAGTGTAAGCTAATGAATTGGTTGTTGAGGTTGATGATACATAAATCATCAACACTCCGGGCGAGCAAGCAATAAGTTAATCTGGTAGGCGCAAAGACAACAAATGCATAGATTTGTATAGACTTAGACATCCTTATGGGAGCCACAGACAGAAGAGAATTTACGGCGAACAGTTGTAGTGGTTGGTGGTTGCTGTACCGTGGTGTAGCTTCGCCTTTCGTCGTCGTCTCTTCTTCCTCGTCGGTTTTGCCGTCGTCGATTTTGAGTTGACAGAATCCTTATCGGTTATTGTCTTCGTGATAGCTGTGGTTTCCGTGATCAGATGTTTGTGATGTGTGATCTTCGGCATGTTCGTTATCTTAATTTTAGCTTGTGACATCGGTTGAAGTGTTCTGGCAAGAGTTCCATTCGCACTCCTCGTGTTGGAGCTGGAACTAGAGCCTAATATGCAGCGAACTTTGACCAGCCATTGTTGTCTGTCTGCCTTAGCTTCGCGCTTAGCAGCAGCTGTCCGGGTTTTCTTCTTTTTCGATAAC